CTCCGTCGGCCTCCTGGGTCTGCTGGCCTCCTGTGCCGGCCCGCAGGCTGAAGTCCTTCCGCATCGGACTGAGTCGGCCCGCAGCGCTAGAGGACGCAGACGCGTGGGTCGGTACCGTCGGGGCGCACTGGGCGCGAGGCGCTGAACACGGGTGGAAAAGCAGAGGGCGGCCGCGCGGGCAGGAAGAGGGAGGCCCGACCGCCGAGAGTCGACGGGGTCGGCCTCCTGGGCTGGCCCGCAGGCACAACTCCTTCTGCATCGAACATGAGCTCTTGGACATTCCCCAGCAGGCTCCCTGTCTCGCCGGACCTGGGCTTCGGCTTCAGGGACTCACCTCAACCAGCGCAGTACCTACCACGCTGCGACGGCGAGGTACAGGGCGGGACCCCCTCCGCGATCATCAGCGACCCCGGGGGCGTGTGCATGAAGGCCTAGCTCGGCGCCAACCTGCTCGCCCATGGATCTACGAGGTGTATATTTAAGTGTTGCGAGAATCCTTTCCAGGGTGGGCCCAACACGTAGAGTTGGGGTGCTGGTCCACAGGGTCTCAGCCGAAATAACTGCAGGGATTCGTCGCTGTAACTGCGTTCATCCAGCACCCGCCGACCGCTTTAAATACCACATCCTAAACATCAGCATGTACATCATCATCAACATCCTCATCAGCAGCAGCATCACCACCACCACCATCATCATCACCATCAGCAGCAGCCTCACCATCAGCATAATCGTCAGCAGCATTATCAACATCCTCATCATCATCATCATCAGCATCATCATCAGCATCAGCATCAGCATCAGCATCATCATCATCATCATCATCATCATCATCATCATCATCATCATCATCGTCATCATCATCATCATCATCAGCATCAGCATCATCTTCATCATCATCAGCAGCAGCAGCATCGTCATCATCATAATCATCATCGACATCATCATCATCAGCAGCATCGTCATAATCAGCATCAGCACCATCGTCGTCATCATCATCATCAGCATCATCCGCGTCAGCATTATCACTCACAACAACAAAAAGCAAAAACCAAAACAACTACATCAACATCAGCATGAACTGCAGCACCAACATCGATCATCAGACCACCACCACCAATCCACCACAAAAATATTAGCAACAATGGGAGTTGAAATGATACTGATACTGATAATCATCATCGACAGCATCATCGTCACACAGCATCATCCTCATAATCATTATCATAATCATCATTATCATCATCACCGTCATCGTCATCGTCAGCATCATCATCATCATCATCAGCATCATCACCATCACTATGATCATCATCATCATCATCATCATCATCAAAATCATCATCATCATCAGCATCATCGTCACCCATCGTCGCCGTAATCGCCGTCATCGTGCTTGGTCCAGCGATGATAAGTCCCCCCCGAGCTCCCATGCTTGTGTGCTGGCCCCATTGGTGGGCTGCGCGCCCTGCGGGCGCCAGCTGGCCCAGTACATCTTTCGGTATGAGAGCGTACAGTAATTTTGTGGTGCGTGCAGGGAGCGTAGTCTCCATCTCAGAGCCCCGACATTAGCTCCCGAGCTGATTGTCTTATCTTATCCCGAGTGGCTCCAGTCGGATCGGGCTCCCCGAGCTTATTACCTTATCTTTTTTACAGTATCCTCATCATCATCATCGTCCTCCTCCTCCTATCCCTCCTCCTCCTCCTCCCCCCCTCCTCCTCATCATCATCCTCCTGCTTCCGCTCCTCCTCCTGCTTCCCCTCCTCCTCCTGTTCCTCCTCCTCCTCATCCTCTTCCTCCTCACCATGGTCATCGTCATCGTAAGCGTGCTTCTCCCTGGTCCCCGGGTAGAGTAGGGAGGTGCCTTCAGGTGCGGCGGGAAGCCTCCATTGGCCAGCGTGGGCGCGGGCAGGATCGTGCCCTGCCATCGCTGTCTCTCTCTAATTCTCTCTCTCTCTCTCTTTCTCTATCTCTACCTGTCTCTCTGCAACGGCCGGAGGAGGATGAACGAGATTGCTTCCTTCCTCCATCCACCCTTCCTTTCCCATTTCCGCTCTTCCTCCTCCCCCTCGTCTTCCTCCTCCTCATCTTCCTCTGCCTCCACCTTCCTCTCCTCCACCCTCGCGGGCGTGAAAAAACACACCCAGCCACTCCAGCCCAGCATAGCCTACCGAACGCTCTGGAAGACTCTACTCCGCTTGGGGTCGGCGGAATGGCGCAAGCCACTCTAAGGAAGGCAGGTCCAGGAGGACGGACGAGGAGGACCTCAGGCTTCCGGTCTCAGGCAAAGCCAGCGAGACAAATACCACCTATAGGTGTATACGTACCATCACTCCACTTGACGCAACTACAACTGTTCGCCCCGAAACTAACTACCAACAGGCGAGTTATGTGAATTGTATGATCGTAAGTCGTGAGGAACGCCTGGTAATCCGATTATCCAAAATCCCTTCTTCTTACGTCCTGGGCGGGGTTTACCCATGGAAGACATTGCCGACATTGCCTGCTTGGTTTGTTGAACCAACCTGTCCCGGTGACGGCACACTCGTTGAGATGTCAGTCCAACTTTCGCCGTCGCGCAATGTACCACCGTAGCCAATTAGCCGTCGATGTGATCGTGGCTCTCACAGCATCCCAGGCCCACTGCAGGGTCCTAGGCCCACTGCAAGTAATTATTGAAGAACGAATGCAAAGGAGAACAAATAGAGCATCGTCACGGTTTGATGTTGTGTCAGCAAATTGCGAAAGAAAGAGAAAGAACGAGAGAGAGAGAGAGGAATAAGACCCCGCGCCCGCCAGGACAATGCTAATTGGCGCACCCGAAATCGATGCAAAAAAATGGGCACAATGCCCAACATCAAAATGGCTGTCCACAACTGGAAGCGGCAGGTGCTGAGCAGGCGACGTCGTGCCTTCAGTGGACAAACACGTCCGAGACGACAGCGACAGCGGGTCCTGCTCAAGATGGGCAGGAACTGCTGCCATTTTCTCCAAGACTCCTAAATCGGTTCCGATTAGATGGGGTCGGAGGATCGCGCTGCATTGCCGATGCATCGCCGATGCATCAGCGATGCGGAGCGACCCCTTCGACGCCTGAAGCACACCGTCCGACCGCTGCGAAGGCCAGAGCGCCTTCTCTGGGCGGGCCCCCCGCACCCCTCCGCCACTCGGCTGGACGCAGCGTCCGCCATGCCCGCTCGCTCCGACCTGCTGGGAATAGCGGGCGCAGCACGCGGCGGCACCTGGGGGCTGTCCAGCGGCTGCGGGCGCGGGGACGACGACGACGACGACGACGACGACGACGAGGACGACGACGACGACGACGACGACGACGACGACGAGGACGACGAGGACGACGACGACGACGACGAGGACGACGACGACGGCGACGACGGCGACGACGACGAGGCGCGCGCAAGCGGGCGCAGGCGCGGGGCGCAAGCTCGGTGCTCCTGGATCGCGGATGCACGGCACGGGTCTGCGGCCGTGCCACGGTCGGCAGCAGGACGGCCCAGAGGCAACCAGGGGGCCCCCGTGGGCTTCCCGAGGGCCCCAACAGTCGACCAAAGGGCTGCCGGGAGGCCCCCACACGGAACAGGGAAGAGCTTGGGGTGCTGCACTGCCCCACGTTCCACGGCCAACCCCATCTGCCACTTCGAGAACTGGGTCCGCGTGAACCTGACCGCACAAGAACGGGAAGCGCCGTTTTTGCTCATAGCAGTGTTTGTCGTCAAAGCTCTGGACGCCAGCGTTCGTACTGGGAGCTCTGGCGTTCGAAGCTGCCCACGTCATCGTTCGTAATGGAGCCTTGGGATGTCGTGGTCGGTCTCTCGTAGGCCTCTTAGAAGCAATTCTGAAGCCTCTTGGGGGCCGTTTTTGGGGGCCGTCTTGGGGGCATCTTGGGGGCCTTTTTGGGGCCTCTTGGGGGCCTCTTGGAGCGTCTTGGGGGGCTCCCGGGGGCCTCCTGGACCCTCCGGGGGGGCACTTGGGGCCGAGGACCCGAAAAGTCCGTTCGTGTACCTCGTCTGGGCCCCCTCTAGGAGCCATATTGACGGCCTCTTGGGCCGCCGCGAAGCCTCTTGGGGCCGTCTTGGGGCCGCCTTGGGGCCTTCTGGTGCCTTCTTGGGGCCGTCTTGGGGGCCTCTTGGGCCGTCTTGAGGCGATCTTGGGGGCCTCTTGGGCCGTCTTGGGGCGATCTTGGGGGCCTCTTGGGCCGTCTTGGAGCGTCGGGAAACGGAAAAGGCGAGAACCCCAAAAACCTTCAAAAAAACTATTCAAAAATCATAGATTTGTGCCTTTTTGGCGCTCTTGTGAGGCCTCTTCGAAGCCTCTTGAGGCGTCTTGGAGGCCTCTTGAGGGCCTCCTGGGCCGTCTTGGAGCTCTCTTGGACCGTCTGGAAGCCATCTTAGGGCATCTTGGAACGCTCTAGGGCGGTCTTGGAGCGCTCTTGGGCCGTCTTGGAGCCCTGGTGGCCGTCTTGGGCGCGTCTTGGTCAGATTTTTTGAGCGGAATGACAATTTTTCCGCAATTTTCCGGAACCTGACCGGACAAGAACGGGAAGCGCAGTTTTTTATCCACCACGTGCGTCAGAGACCGTATTGGCGAGAACGTCAGAGAACATCCCTGTTGCGTTTCCTGGCTTCGGCGCCGTCTTGGAGGTATCTTGGACGCTCTTGGGGCTGTCGTAGCCTCTGGCCTCTCGGGGGCCTCTTGGGGGAGTCCCGGGGGGGGCCTTCGGGGGCTCTATGGGGCGATATGAAGCTCTCAGGGAACTCCTGGAGCCTTTTCGCGCGTTCTGGGGGACTTCTGGCCGCCTCTTTGGAGCCCCTGGGGGGCTTCTTGGGGGTCTCTTGGGGCGTTTTGGGCGCTCTGGCGGGCCTCTGGCCGCCCCTTGGGGGCCTCTTGGGGGTCTCTTGGGGCGCTCTGGGGGTCCTCTGGGGGGCCTTCGGGGGCTTTCTTGGGCCGTTTGGAGGCCCTCCGGGAGCGATTCCAAGATAATGCTGCTTCGGAGTCCCCTCCGGAGCCGATTTTTTGAGGACGTCCCGAGCGAAACGGCCAATTTTCCGGAACACGGCAGACCACACAGGAGCACGGCAGACCACACAGGACACGGCAGACCCCACGGGAGCACGGCAGACCACACAGGAGCACGGCAAACCACACAAGAGCACGGCAGACCATACAGGAGCACGCCAGACCATTTTGGGGAATCCGTTAACGAAAAATCCCGTGCAGCGCGGCAACCCATATAGTTAAAGAAAAGATATATTTACTCAAGGATTCAGCCAGAACGTCCCGCTTGCTTGTCGTACCTCGAAGACGCTTCCCGTCATCCGCCAACGAGTTTCGGGATGGAGCCCGTACCCCTTAGTTAGAGAACCGCCAACGAGTTTCGGGATGGAGCCCGTACCCCTTAGTTAGAGAATCTCTCTCCCTCTCTATCTCTCTATGTCTCTCTCTTTCTCTGGCTTTAAGCCCCCAAAGCTTCAGCTTCAGCACGGCAGACCAGAACAGCAGACCCGCACGGCAGACCAGCACAACACACCGACACGGCAGACGAGCACGGCAGTCCGGCACGGCAGACCAGCACGGCAGACCAGCACGGCAGCCCATAGGAACATAGCAGACCAGATCATGTCATTGACGCTGCTGTTGTTGGTGATGATCATGTTGCTGCTGATGGTGATGGTGATGCGTACGATGATGATAATGATGGTGAGCCGCCATGTCGGAGGTTGCCTCGGGGCTGGCCAGGCGGGCGTACTGGTTGTGTGCTAAGCGTGGCTGCAGTGCTTGGAACTGGTGTGACAAGCGGTGGACGTGCAAGGCGTGCGGCACCAGTGCTCCCCCATGGACGAAGGAGTATCGCTCTGACAAGCCCCCCCCGCGGGCGGACGCAGACGGGTTCGTGCAGCAGCCCAGGGGAAGGGCTGAGCAGCGCGCTGCGAGGCGCTCGGCCTCCCAGCGGGCCCTCTCGGGGAGCACCGCGCCCAGCAGCGCCCCCAACAGCAGGGCACGGCGCGCGCGGCCTTGGGGAGAGGCCAAGACGCAGATCGAGGAGCTGCAGGCGCAGCTCGATGCGGCCAGGGAGCGCGTCGCCACGCTCCAGGGGGCTTCGGCGCTCGGGCTCTCAGTGGACTTCCAGCGTGAGGCGGAGAACGCCCTCCAGCAGGGCAAGGACCAGTTCGCCGCCCTGGAGCGGTCCGTCCAGGAGGCCCAGCGGACGGAGCGCCCGCCTCACTCTGTGCTCCACATTGAGGCCAACGCCATCCAGAAGGTCGAGCGCCAGTTGGCCACGGCGCGTACCAGGAAGGAGAAGCTCCAGCTGCAGGCGTCCGAGCTGCGCGAGCTCATCGCGGAGAAGCAGGAGCAGCTATCGGCAGCCGAGTTGGGGGTTGATGAAGTCACCGGGCAGATTGCGGAGCTGGAAGAGACCAGGGCCAAGGTCACTCAGCAGGCGATCCAGCGGGCCAACGCAGCTGTCGGAGGCGTGCCGAGCCCGCTTGGGGACGCTGTCCAGGGGTTGCTCACTCAGGTTGGCGCCCTTTCGGATCTCCTCAAGCAGCACGGCGCCGACCTGCCGCCCAGGTTTTCGGAGATCGTCGAGATTCTCAACACGCAGAAGGAGGCGGTCGCTGACGTGCTCAGGCCCCGAAGCAGCTCGGTCAGGAAGCGTTGGGGCGACAGCGTCGGTGAGGACGGCCTCGCGACTGAGGATGACGACATGCCGCTCGACATCGTGGCCCCAGGTGGGCCTGCGGCCGCCCCTCCCGCGGCCGCCCCGCTGGCAGGGCCGACCGCGGCTGGGCCGCCAGCCGCGCGGGTCAGGCCAGCGGACGGACCCTACGGCCCAGCAGCGGCCCGTGGCCAACACGGGGCTACCCTGGGCGCGTGGCCTCAGGTGGAGCCCAGCCTCACCAAGGCCCTCGCCGAGCAAGGGGCGGCCTTCACGGACGGCGACCCCTTGTTGGCTGCGGCTGCTGTCGTTGCTCCTGCTGCTGGGTACGGGCCGCGCCGTGGGTGATGCTGGAGCGTGGGAGTGGTCAGCTTCCACAGTCGGCCTCGATGTGGGGGCCAGCGAGACGCCATCCCCTCGGGATGTGCGCGGGCCCAGCTGTTGGGACAGGTGGAGGAGGCGCTGTGACGGCCGCTGGCGCGTCCGCGCCCCCCGCAGGCGGCGGGCGGCGCCGAGCACCCTCGCCCGAGGTAGCCAGCTGGCGCGGTCGGGATCACCGAGGTGGCCCCCCGACGGCCAGTCAGGGGCCGAGAGCGGTGGGATTCAGCCCCACGACGTCGCAGCTCTCGGCCCCGTTGGTGATGGGCATGCGCACCCCCCGCTGGCAACCGGAGGGGCGGAGGGACGGCCACCTCCCCAGCCCTGCGATGGCGCGCCGCGGAGGGAGGGACGGCCACCTCCCGTTCTGGCGAGCGGCCCGCCGACGCCGCTGAGGAGCGCTGGAGCGAGGGGCCAGGTCCCCCCTCCAGTCCTGGTGGGGGCGGAGGGTCCCGCGACCAGGAGCACAGCGGGCCCCGTGTCTGACGCTGATGGGCGGGCCGCTCGCGAGGCAGCTGTCATCGGCAAGGCGCCGCAGGTCGGCAGGGCAGGAGGCCAGCAGCTTAGAGCCGGCCTCGTCATGTTCGGCTGCAACGGCAACGCTTGGAGCAGGAGCATTGAAGCCCTCGAGGCCTTCTTCAAGGCGTACGACTACTGGCCTGACGTCGTGGCGCTGCAGGAGACGAGGCTCCAGCGTGCGCGCCTGCCCAGTGCTGCGGCTCAGGCCCGCGGCCTGGGCTACGCGGCCTTCCTCCACGAGGCGGCGCCGACGGGGAAGCAAGGGCCCCAGGCGACCTCAGGCGGCGTGGCGATTCTGGTGCGAGACGGCTTGCAGGCCGACGAGTCGGCGTGCCCTTTGCCCTCGGCCTTGCGCCACCGCCTCATCGGGGTGGAGGTCGCCGCTGCCTCGGGCTTTCGGGTCCTGGTGCTGGCTGGGTACTTTCAGCACTCTGTGGGCCCTCGAGGCACCAACCTGGACTTGTTTTCGGCCATCTCGGAGGTGACGGGCTTTTCTGCCGACATCCCGTGGGTCCTCCAAGCCGACTTCAACATGGAGCCCGAGCCACTGGAGGAATTGGGGTGGCCCGCTGCGGTGCGGGGGCATGTCCTGGGGCCCTCGGAGGCGACGTGCCATGCCGAGGGATGTGACCACCTCTACGACTGGTTCGTGGCTTCCTCGGCGTTGGCAGCCTGCACGGCCTCCTGCGCC